CAAAACTCAGAAGCATTGTCAACTATGAGGAGGATCGTTTTGAACTGCAAAAGGACACAGACAAGTTGGTGGACTGGGTGCACAGATGTCAGATAAAGTTATAGAATCACAGAGTTGTACAGCATGGAAACAGACCCTTCGTTCCAACTCGTCCATGCCAATCAGATATCCTAAGTTAATCTAGTCCCATTCACCAGCATTTGGCCCATGTCCCTCTAAAGCCTTACTGGTCATAGACCCAAGCAGATGCCTTTTAAACGCTGTAATTGTAGCAGCCTCCACCACCTCCACTGGCGCAGCTCGTTCCAGACGTGCACCACCCTCTGCATGAAAAAATTGCCCCTTAGGTCCCTTTTACAACTTTCCCTTCTCACCTTAAACCTATGCCCTCCAGTTTTGGACTCATCTACCCGAAGGAAAAGACCTTGGCTATTCACCCTGTCCATGCCTCTCATGATTTTACAAGGTCACCCCTCAGCCTCAGATCCTCCAGGGAAAAATGCCCCTACCGCTCCCTATAACACAAACCCTCCAGTCCCAGCAACATCCTTATAAACTTTTTCTCCACCTTTTCAAGTTTAACAACACCTTTCCTATAGGAAAACAACCAGAATTATAGGCAGCATTCTCAAAGTAGCCTCAGCACTGTCCTGTACAGCCACAACATGATGTTCTAACTCCCATACTCAATATTCTGACCAATAAAGGCAAGCATGCCAAATGCCTTCTTCACTACCCTGTCTACCTGTGACTCCACTTTCAAGGAACTATGCACCTGCATCCCAGGGATTTTTTTTCAGCAATACTCCCTAGGGGCCCTACCATTAACTATGTAAGTCCTGCCTGGTTGGTCTTACCAAAATGCAACAGCGCACATGTATCTAAATTAAACCTCATCTGCCACTCCTCGGTCCAGTGGCCCATCTGATCAAGGTGCCGCAGTACTAAAATAATCTTCTTCACTATCCACTACATCACATATTTTAGGTGTCATCTGCAAACTTACTAACCATGCCTCCTACATTCACATCCAACTCATTTATATAAATGATGAAAAGCAGCAGACCCAGCACCACTCCTTGTCACACACAGTTGGTCACAGACCTCCGGTCCAAAAAGCAACCCTCTACCACCACCGTCTATCTCCTACTTTCAAGCCAATTTTGTTTCCAATTAGCTAGCTCCCCCTGATCCCATGGGATCCAACCTTACTAACCAGTCCATCATGCAGAACCTTGTCAAATGCTTTGCTTGGGTCCATATGGACAACATCTACTGCTCAGTCTTCATCAATCTTCTTTGTCACCTTTTCAAAATACTCAATTTAAGTTATGAGACAATTTTCCACGCGCAAAGCCACGTTGACTATCCCTAAATCAGTCTTTGCCTTTCCAAATACATGTAAATCCTGTCCCTCAGAATCCCCTCCAACAACTTACCTGCCACTGACATAAGGTTCACTGGTCTATAGTTCCCTGGCTTTTCCTTACAGCCTTTCTTAAGTAATGGCACCACATCAGTCAAACTCCAGTCACTCCGCACCTCACCTGTGGCTGTCTGTGGTACAAATATCTCAGATAGGGGCCCAGTAATCTCTTCCCACAAAGTTCTATGAAACACCCGATCAGGGCCTGGGCATTTATCTTCCTTTATGCGTTTTAAGATATCCAGCACCTCCTCTTCTGTAATATGAACTCTTTTTAAGACATCACTATTTATTTCCCCAAGTTCCCTAGCTTCCATGTCCTTTTCCACAATAAATACTGACATGAGATACTTGTTTAGTATTTCCATCTCATGCAGTTCCACACATAGACGGCCACGTTGATCTTTAAGGGGCCTTATTCTCTCCCTAATTACTCTTTTGCCTTTAATGTACTTATAGAATCTCTTTGGATTCTCCTTAACTCTATTTACCAAAGCTATCTCACGTCCCCTTTTTGACTTCTGATTTCCCTCTGAAATATACTCCTACTGCCCTTACATTCCTCTAGGAATTCACTTGATCCCAGCTGTCTAGGCCTGATATATGTCTTTTTTTGTGGCCAGAATCTCAATTTCTCTAATCATCCAGCATTCCCCACACCTACCACCCTTGTCCTTCACCCTAACAGGAATATACCATCTCCGAACACTCATTAGCTCATTTTTAAAGGCTTCCCATTTCCAACCATCCCTTTACCTGCATATAGTCTCCCCCAATCAACTTTTGGAAGCAAGTTCCTGGCCTTACACCAATTTAGAACTTTAACTTTTTTATCATTTCTATCCTTGTCCATAACTATTTTAAAACCAATAGAATTATGATCATTTGCACAAAAGTGGCCCCCACTGACACCTCAGTCACTTGCCTTGCCTTATTTCTTAAAAGAAAGTCAAGCGTTGCTCCTTCTCTAGTAGGTACATCCACATACTGAATAAGAAAGTTTCCTTGTACACATTTAAATTCCTTTCTATCCAAGCAATTAACACTACGACAGTCCCAACCTATGTCTGGAAAGTTAAAATCCCCTAACATTACAACCCGATTATTCTTATAGACATCTGAGATCTCCTTTTTTGTTTGCTTCTCAATTTCTCAGTGACTATTAAATGGCCTATAATACAATCCCAACAAGGTGATCATCCCTTTCTCATTTCTCAGTTCCACCCAAATAAACTTCCCTAGACGTAATCTCAGGAATATCCTCCCTCAGTACAGCCGGAATGCTATCCCTAACCAAAAACGTCACTCCCCCTCCTCTCTTGCCTCCCTTTCTATCCCTTCTATAGCATCTATATCCTGGAACATGAATCATAGAATCCCTACAGTGTGGAAACAGGCCCTTTGGCCCAACAAGTCCACACCAACCCTCAGAGGATCCCACCCAGACCCATCTCCCTATAACCCACCTAATCTACACATCCCTGAACACTATGGGAAATTTAGCATGGCCAATCCACTCAGCCTGCACATCTTTGGACTGTGGAAGGAAACCGGAGCACCCAGAGGAAACCCACGCAGACACGGGGATTACGTGCAAACTCCACACAGACAGTCACCCAAGGGTGGAATCGAATCTGCGTCCCTGGTACTGTGAGGCAGCAGTGCTAACCACTGAGCCACTGTGAAGCTGTCAGTCCTATCCATCCCTGAGTCATGTTTCTGTATTAGCTATGATACCCCAGTCCCATGTTCCCAACCACATCCTGAGTCCATTTGCCTTACCTGTCAGGCCTCTTGCGTTGAAGTAAATGCAGATTAATTGATCAGTCTTACCGCATTCTCTGCCAACTTCTTCTTTGGCATGACTATTTGACTTGCTCCCCTTATCTCAGGGCCTCAGCCTTTTCTCTTTTTTCATTACTGCCTTGTTTCCTTCCCCCCCATTAACTTACTAGCTTGAAGCCTTCTGAGTAGCACTAGCAAAGGTCCTGGGAAGGATTTTGGTCCCCTTCCAATTCAAGTGGAACCCGTCACTCTTATACAGGTCATTTCTAGCCCTGAAGAGATCCTAATGATCCAAAAATGTAAATCCTTGACCCCCGCACCAGCTCCTCAGCAACACATACATTACTCTATCCTCCTATTCCTAGTCTCACCACATGTGGCACCGCAAGCAATCGAGATATTACTACCCGAGGACCTACTTTTTAACCACCTGCCTAGTTTCCTACATGCTCTCTGCAGAATCTCATCCCTTTTCCTACCTATGTCGTTGATATCAATGTGCACAACAACCTCCTGCTGGTCACTTTCTCCTTTCAGAACATTCTGCACCATCTCCAAGACATCCTTGAGTCTGGCTCCAGGGAGACAACAATATCCTGATGTCTCACTAACAGCCGCAGAATGTCTGTGCCCCAGACTAGAGTCCCCTATTACAATTGATTGATTGGAACCCCCTGACATACCCCTCATTACAGAGTTAGTCATAGTACCAGAAACCTGACTGTCAGTGCTATGATCCCGCGCATCCAACCCCCCCGACAGTATCCATAATGCCATACACCTGTTTGAGATGGGGATAACCACAGAAGAATCCTGTACTACCTGGTTACCTCTCCTACAGTTCCTAGAAGACAACCATCTACCTGACTATATCTGTCATGTCTCCACCATCCTGAAACTGCCATCCATCACACCCCCTTGCTCTTGTAAACTCCTCATTGCTTCTAATTTTCACTCCAACCTATCCATGCCGTCCAATAGGATTTGCAACCGAACACACGTCCTGCAGATATAGTCACCAGATAATCAAATTTTCCCTGATCCCTCACATCTGACAGGAAGAGCGCATCACCCTAATAAAAGCCATTTCTGTCCCTTTAGGAATCTACAGACCCAAAAATTAATTAAAACAAACAGCACACTTTGCTCAAAAATGCAACATTGGCACTGTTTGCTTGAAAACACTGCTTTGGGATAACTTAATACTAATCCTTAATATTAAAAGTCAAATCAAGAGACAGATCTCAGTACAAACATAAAAAACAGCCCTCAACTTACTTACTATTACAGATTTACAGAAAACCACATTAAGCCTTAGAAGTCTTAAAATCAAACACTTAGCTGATCAGTCTCAAAAAAACAGAAGGTTGTCCTCTTCTCCTGCAGTTTCAGACAGTAATTTTTTTTTTAAATCACTGATACCTCTGTAGGTGCACAGTGAAGCTGGATGTTAGCCCTCCCATGTCAGCTACAAAACTGCACTGCTTGCTTGTTATTTCAGTGAAACCCCGACCCCAGAGCCCTTGTGCAATTTCTCAGTCTGACAGCTGCAAAACTACACTTGTTAGTGGCTTTTTATGAGGCAAATCTCTGAGCCTAATGCAATTCTTCAATCTCCAACTTTGCCACATGGTCGCTCCCCTGAAACTCTCTCTCCTTCCTCCCTTTCAAAGAATCTTTGTTTTTGACTTTCTTCAAAAGTTCCAAAAAGAATGCAAAAACTCATAAAAACAGCAATTACTGGCCCAAGGAAGTAGGTAAATCCAGTGAAAAAAAAAACTTGACTTACAGGTTCCATCTCAGGCATATCTGGCAGCTGAGAGACTGCTTCTTCCACCACAAACTGTTCATCATCTTCTTCTTCTTCAACATTCTTTCCTTTATCCACTATTAAATTAGAGACAGGTTTTGCACTACCAATTCTGGAAAAGTGCAATAAAACCAATCAAAAAAAAAACATATTAAAACAGAATAAGTTATATGGGACACATCAGGTACTAATTACTTATTTCTGTGGTATAACCTTCTGTAATCCATCGTCACAAATTTTTTAGAAAATGTGCAGCAATACAAAGTATTTTAAAAAGGACCTTCTGGACCTCACCCCTTTAATATATTACCCCTGCCTATCATTCAATTAAATCATGAATGCCCCCTAAAGTCTATTCCCTTTTCTGACAAATTATTACTTTTTTTTGAAAGAATTTCTTACTCTTAAAATGGCTATAAACTTTTTATTAAACCAAGCTAAATTTGAACAATCAGGTTCCTTTATTCTTGCTTCCATTAAGATAATATTCTCAATTTACCTCCTATCTGCCAATAACTTGATATACCTTGATGATCTTTCTTGATTAAAAACTTTGTTTTTGCCTTCAGACTGGGCTTTTTCCATCATGTTTGATAATAAAAAGGGTTTATAAACTATATAACCACCATCACCATGGCATAAAATATCTTACTATTATTTCAATAACATCACTATTAAATCTAATTCCAACTTTCAAATGATTTTATGGCAATATCTCACATAACAGTAGTTTATTTATGCTTTACTTTTGGGTGTGCCCCAGAGAAATCAATTACAATTCAACAATAAACAAAGAAAGCATTCCCAGCCTTATGTCAAGAGCATGTTCGCTTTCATGATGTCAGTTGACAAATCTCACTGGAAGGAGCTGTTTATTCAGTTCAGTGATCAGATAATATATTCCAGTGAAGGCAAAGCTACAGTACAATCACCAGGATCTTCTTGTTCAATTATCACCTTGCAATCCACTGATAACATGTATTGTACCAGCAGAAAAAACCCTTCATTTCATGATACAAGGACCCTAGGATTTGCAGGATATTGTTTCTGTTTAATATGCAGTGAATTTCTAGGACATCCACTATACTACAATAATGATAAAAGAAAACAAAAATCTACCTTTCTGCAGGGGAGTCTGGACCTTCCTGCTTCTTTACTCTGGGAGGTGCTGGTCTTGCACTGCCTGGGCGAGGTATTCGTTTGCTGTTCAAGAAAACAACCTTTTATTTCAATCACATAATAATGAATAAAAGTTTGAAAAGCAGCAACTGTGACATGAGGGCAAACTGTTCTACACTATGAGTTGTTTGATACGTGATGTACTGCCTGATAGTTTTGTGGGGGTGGATTCAACCAAGGCTATCAAACAAGAATTGTATAATTATCTAAAGAAAAAGGAATTGCAGAACTATGGAGAAAATGTGGAGGAGACAGTGTAGGTGAACTGTTCTCACAGACAGTCAGCATGGCCATGTCAGGCCAAATAGTATCCTTCTGTGCAGAAATCATATTTCCTTCCATTTGAAAGCAAATGGCAAAGAACTTCCATCATGAACAAAATCTCAACTATCCAAAAGTGAACCTCAAGCCAAATGCCCAGAAAAAAACAGCAACTACGTCTGATCTTCAAACATGCAAGTTCCATCTACTCAAGAGTATGTAATAACATCTCTGAACAGGTTGATTACAAAATATTTACCCTGAAGAGACCTTCTGTGGAAATAGTATCTAACATTAATCCACTCTGACCTCTTTCAGTAAAATATAATGAGAGAAAACGTGAACTTGTACATCTTTGCAGCAAGAATAGAAAAGTGGCATATCACTTAGAGATTGCAGAACCCAGGTGGAAGGTTCTTGATGTCCTGGTACATGAATCAGGAAAGGTTTGCATGCAGTTAAAAATTAGGAAGGCAAATAGAATGTTGCCATTTATTGCAAGAGGAATGGAATTATAAAATATGGAATTGCTTGCTACAATTATAGACAGCACTGATAAGGCAACAACTGGCAGCACTATATACAATGGTTTGATTTCCTTATTTAAGAAAGGATGCATTACAAGCATTTCAGAGAAGGTTAATTCAACTGATATCTGGCTTGCAGTAGTTATCTTAGGAAGAAAGGTTAGATAGGTAAGCCTGTATGCATTGGCATTTAGAAGAATGTGAGGTGATTTTATTGAAACATACAAGATCCTGATGGGGCTTGATAGGGTGGATGCTGGAAGGATGTTTCCCCTTTTGGGTAAGTGGCTTCATTAAATACCTTTAATTTAAAGGTATTTAGTTTCTTTACTAATAAAGAGCCAATTTTTTGTCGGGGGAGAAGGTGGGAACATGGATTTAAGCCCACAATCAGATCAATATGAGCTTAATAATTGGCAGAGCAGAGGAGCTGAACGGCCTAAGCCTGCTCCTAATTCATGGCAACTGTCAAGGTGGAGACAAGGGTTAATCTTGTCCAGATACTGGAAGGCACAGTGCTTCAGATATCAGTGATGATGCATTCTTGTGTGGATCAAAAAGGAGCCACAGTCCACTTGTTGAAATATAACTAAACACAGCGATGCACAGCATCACTGGTACCTTTCAAAGCAACTCCAACAGCCTGACCAACCATAATATTGCACATCACTCCACCATCCATTCATCACAATGTAGCAAACCTCCAGTGAGTCCAGAAAATTTAGGAAAATAAATAGAATTGTATCCAACAGGACCTCAACTCCTGTCAATAATCGTTTTAAGGGAGAAAAGTTCTGGCATACTCGCACTGTCATTGGAAAAATAACATCTCTGAACAGGTTCATTACAAAATATTTAGAGGCCCAAACTAATGCTCTGGAGACACAATTTAAATCCCACCACAACAGCCGGTGAGATTTAGAATCAATAATGAACTTGGAATTTAACAGAAAAGCTAGTGTCAGTAATGGTGACCATGACAACAATTGTTGATTGAATAAAAACCCATCTGATTGACTCCGAGATAGTAAGAACTATAGATACTGGAGTCAGAGTCAATACAGTGTGGAGCTGGAGGAACACAGCAGGTCAGGCAGCATCAGAGGAGCAGGAAAGTCAACACTTCAAGTCAGGACCCTTCATCAGGACTCATCTGCCATTCTTACTTCCTCTGGTCTACATGTGATTCCAATCACACAACTGGTAATGCAAGTCACTCAATTCAAGAGAATTAGGGTATGGGTAACAAAAACTGATCATGCCAGCAACATCCACATCCAATGAATGGATAAAGATTAAAAAAAAAATCTTACAAGGCCTTTGGACTCACTCAACATTTCAACAATGCTACTTTCAAACCTGGTCAAGCTTGGAAAGCCAAATGAAGTTCACAAGAAGCTGTTAATAGAATTCAGGCCACTTGGTAAGATTGCAACTCAGCCACCTATATTGTCTTTTGTCAAGAGAATTTATTGACATCCCACAACCAGTGTTAGTGGTCCCTATTTATAAGTGCTCAGATAATTAATAACCACCACCTGTTTCTCTTAAATGAAAATCTCAATATTAACAATGCAAATAACTAAATATAAGCAACAAGTGAAAAAAAGACTTCCTGGAAAATTATTGGTTTTCATGAACAACTCTAAACTACACCCAAACGAATCATGGAAAATAAAAGTAGTTGATTAACAAATAAAAAAATTAAGAACTTTCCAGTTTGTAAAGCAGTCTCTTAGAACAGAACATGGAATATAATACAGATTAATAAACACGAATGAGGTATTATAGCACTCTAAAAGCAATTACCTATCTTATTCATATGAATGCTAAAATTCTAAACAGAAACAGAAATTGCTGGAGAAACTCAGCTGGTCTGGCAGCATCTGCAGAGACAACGCAGAGTTAATGTTTCAGGTCTGGTGGCTGTTTTTCAGAACTATTGGTAGCTAGGAAAAGGTGATACATTTGCAGAAGAAAGGTGGGGTTGGTAGGGGAAGGAGTAAGTGAATGGATGGAGATCTCCACGTATTCACTTACTTACTACAAGATGAACTTCAGCAGCTCACCATGGCTTTTTTGACAGCATCTCCCAAACACGCAACCTCTCCCACCTAGAAGGAAAAGGCCAGCACATGCGTGATAACATCACTACTTGCAAGTTCCCATTCAAGCCACACGTTGTCCTGACTTAAAAATATACCACTGTTCCTTCACTGACTTTGAGTAAAAATCCTGGAACTTCCTCCCTAACAGCATGCACCTATACTCCAAGGACAGCAGCAGCTGACCGTCACCTTAATGGCAATTAAGGATGGGCAATAAATGCTGGTTTAACCAGCAATCCCCACATCCCATGAATGAATAAAAAAAACTATATGTGCCACATGAAAGAGGATTTATCAGCCATGGTATCAATAAGTAAATGTAAACACATCAAACCTTTGCACAACTTGAGTGGAAAGCTCATCAAGAATCTCTCCATTCACTTCTGCTGTATGTTTCTTCTCAATGGAAGTGTGGGCAGCTTCAAGTTCTGAAAATGTTGATACAATCATGAGGATGTGCAATATTGGTAAGGAAAAGAGTCAAAACATTCTCTTAAACAGATAAAATGCTGAAGTACTGTAGTACTGAAATATGACTGGGTCTATCCAGTCTGTGGGGACTGGCAAATGGCATGTTTTAAAATATGGAATAAAGTTAAAGATTTAGCCCTCTGAGAACAGAGTTGTGCATGATTAAAATACAATGTATTAATTTTGGCACAGAGATTTGTATTCATTTGTAAAATACATAGCCAGTGGTTGAGACTTTTAGCTGCATTAAAAAAGGCTCTTATGACCCTATCCCTTGACAAGTTCAAGTCCCATCTGCTCCAGAGGTGTATTATAACATCTCTGAACAGATTAATTAGAAAGTGTCTTAAATCAGTACAAAATATACCTTTCCTTGCTTAGTAGAGAATTAAAATTTAATTATTTTTATTTCAAAAATATTCATTTTAAAAAAAGCATTCAAGTACACAGGGACAAAACTCCAAAAAAGTTGGAAGAATGGTGTAAGCTATAGTACAGTGAAGGGATTTTCTTTAGTCACAATTCTCCGATTAATGGTCAAACTATGGGTGTGAGAGATACCTCGCCTGGGCACAAACCAATCAACTTAAGAGAACGGACTGGTGAGCTTCTTGATCTATCATAGGCCTCAACTGTAGAGTCCCTCATGCCAGAAGGTTGATGGAGGCATAGTCTTCAGTAGGTGGTTTTCTTTTGCTTCTTGTGGGGTAGGGATCACAGCAGGCAGAGGGTGGGTAGAGGCAATGGCAAGAAGGTGGCTTTTTGAGGCCAGTGCCTTGCAACTTGGATCTACAATCTTTAAAATTTAAGGTGCATAAAATCCCTAAGCAACTTTCAGAAGGATCACCTCTTCTGAAGTGCATTTTATGGTGATCTTAGTGTTGGTCTAACAAATGTCTATTTATTAATAACCAAAATGTTTCATTCAACTTAAAATCTGTGATATTATTATAAAATTTGCATTCCTAACATTGGAGAGGTAATAGTGGAACCAAGCGAGGACAGGTCCTCTCAGCTGGAAGAGAGGTATACAAAGGAGCCAGTAGTTGAGCATGTAAAAATCTGCTGAGAGCTCAAAAAAAATGAGGAACGACATTTGACTATAATCAAATTCACAGCAGATAAAGAAGTTGTTACTTTGGTTCGGCACAGAAACTTGAATTGAGAGCTGAAAAGTGAAGATGAGCACGGATTTGGGAGACAACAAACACACAGTCACGGACTTGAAAAGAAAGCAAACTTACAAATGGGCTGGTGGTTTGCAAGGCCAGAACGTTGAAGATTTTCTTTTGAGGAATAGAGCTGATGGCATTTGAAAGCAAGCAGCAAAGTACTTAAGGAGAGGGAACCATTTCAAATGCTATCAAATATGGAGGTCATTAAGGGAGGCTGAGTAGTTAGCAGCTAAGTGTAAAGAGTTCAAGAAAGTAGCAGGCTTTGGTCTGACAAACACAATGAGCTAGAGGAAGCTAAAAGGGGAAAATAGAAAGAAGCTAGAGATATGTGTAGCTTCAGAACTATGGCAGGTGGGAACTTGTTGAAGGTGTCTGGAGCAGAATGCATTAGAGGATCATCAGCAGCAGCAGCGGTCCCTCGCAGACAAGGATGACTGTCCACTCTCAGAGTGAGTCCATAGGTGGATGTACAGACCGATGCAGCTTTCCCAAGCTCTATTCCACTTAGGGTAGAAGGTGGTCATAGCTGGAGGTGGATGAGGTGTTGGTGTGGCAGTGCACTTCTTTCGTTGTTTTCGTCTGGCTTCCACTTTTTCCTGATGGCAAGTCTTGAGGTGCTCAACACCATTGCAAATGCTCCTCCTGCACTTTGGATGGTCTTGGACCAAATGATTCCCAGGTGTTAGCGGGAATGCTGCATTTTGCCAGAAAGGCCCTGAAGGTATCATTGAAGCACTCTCTCTGTCCACTTGGGGCTCACCTGCCATTTCAAAGCAGGGAGTAAAGCACCTGCTTGGGGAGTCTCGTGTCAGTCATGTGAACACCATGCCCAGCCCATTGTAGCCCATCAAGGGTGGTCAGTGCTTCGACACAGGGGATGTTGGCCTGTTGAGGACGCTGGTGTTGTGTGTCTTTCTTCTCAGCAGATTCACAGGATCTTGCACAGGCAACGTTGGTGGTACTGCTCCAGCACCTTGAGGTGTCTACTGCAGACAGTCCACATCTTGGAGCCATACAGGAGGGAAGGAACAACCCAGCTCTGTAAACCATGATCTTGGTGTCAGATCTGATGTTGTTGTCCTCAATCATAGGTATGATGAGAGGATCATAGGTAAAGATAGAATCGATGATGCAAGAATCCTACTACATGGCAACGTGGGTGGAGGTGGTGGCATAGTAATAGTGCCACTGTTCAACAAATTTTAAAATTAGTTTGCGCAGTAAACATTATTCAAGAAAATTACTCTTTCTCATGAATTAAATGAGAGAGAGAGACATAGAGAGCGAGAGAGAGAAGACGGAAGAGATAGTTCATTGATAACCCTTACAGGAATTTCTTTACTGGGCAAAATGTCAAAAGCGCAAATGTTTTCCAACAGATAACACAGTGTGGAGCTGGAGGAACACAGCAGGCCAGGCAGCATTAGAGGGATAGGAAAGCTGACGTTTCGGGTCAGGGCTCTTCTTCAGAAATTCACTTTCGGAAATACAAAGAAATCAATAGTATTTCAATAGTCTTTCAACACATCTACAAGAAATGCTTCATATACAATGAATTAGTTCTGGAGTTGGAATTTCTGTATTGACAATCAAGGTGTAACTTGTGCTTGAAATTGAATGAGTTTTCGCAAGTGAAGTTACAGGTTCAAACTTCTATTCACACTAATTTGCATAATAGTTTCCCATGCATTAAAAATACTCCAAGATGGACTTAAGAATGCAAAGCAGGTCCAGTTTTATCAATACAGCTGAAAATAGATTTGTCACAAAAAAAGGTTTTTAACAAGTGTTCAACTTAATTAAAAATTACTTTAAAAAGCTATTCCAAACTAGCATACATAGTTAATTAAATTATACTGCCCAAGTTGTCTTTTTAATATATCTGCTCCAGTGCCTTTGCATCCATGTTTAATTTTGAACAATCATAAATGGGCACAATTGGTGAAACTTCAGTCTCAGCATGTGTCCTGTTTTATGGGTGAGGCTGTTTTGCAACACAGTGCGTGGAATCTTATGGATATGAGCAACATGAACAATGGCGAGATGTGAGGCAGAATTGGATGAGAAATGCGGTGAGGCTGATCTTGATGTCGAGATCATCTCACTCTATCTTTTATGCTTTTTTCACATGTGGCATGGCAAGATTTTCGCAAGGCATTGGTCAGTTGCTAACTGATGGGTGATTAAGCTCCCTGTTGGTTGCCCAACTCACCTCATGACCATGCTGTTAAAGGTCCTACCAAACTCAGCTAAACTAACCAACAGGAAAATCCGACATGGAAATCAGAGCAGGTACCAAGCAGATTCAGCTCATCACTTCCTCCAAACAACTTCCATGTTGCCCACAGCCAACTTTCTCCTCATGGCACAGACTTGCCTAGCAGGCTACATCGGTTACAGCTACCACACAGGGAGAGGCACCCAGCCCAGACTTGGACCAAGCTGCTCCCTTGCTGCCTTAATGAGCATTCATTGGGCACCGATTGGCATGCCCAGATGTTTTGGCCATCCAGTGCCAATTGGTGCAGTCACGCAATCAGATAGCTTGTTCAGCTGCTCAGCAGTCCTCAGACAAAGGGCAGGGGGTGTGACATCAGCACCATACCTGAACCATGTGGCAGCAGCCCATAGGCCAAACACACTGCATATGTATCAAACAGCGAGCTGTGTCCCAAATTCAAAGGCTGTAGCTGTTATCAAGTCCATGGTGCCACCTGTCAGTCAGGGGGGCCCAACATGATTAGTCAAGCAGGCTCTAACACCAGTCCTGGACTTTGACCACAGTCAGTCATCCTGTCAAGGTGGATTCACACAGGGGTTTCATGCCTCTACATTTCAGTGAGTGGGTCACAGTCAGTCCTTTGACTCCATCAAGATTGGTGAGGTTGCATGAGGAGATGGGGCACAAAAGTTCAGTTGGAAGGAACAGAGGAGGGACAGGGAAGGAGAGGAGAGAAAATAAAAGAGAGCTAGGCCATTTGCTGGGGGTAGGGGGAGACGAGGGCAGAGGGGGGGGGGAAGGGGGGGGGAGAGAGACAGGGGATGGAGAGAGAAAGAGAGAGAGAGAAAGAGAGAGAGAGCAAGAGAGCGAGAGAGGGGAGGAGGGAGCGAGGGAGGGAGAGAGAGCGAGACAGGCAGCGAGAGAAAGGGTGGAGAGTGAGAGGCGTGAGAGAGAGAGGGGCTGTGGAGAAACGGGGGGTGGAGAAAGGGGGGGGAAGAGACGGGGTGGGGAAAGAGACGGGGTGGGGAAAGAGACGGGGTG